TAATATGTAAGGTCCCTTGTCAGTCTGAAGAACTTCTTTTAGTGTTTTTCATAAGGAATATTTTCTAGCAACTAATTCTCTCAGTATTTGCTTATTGCTTATCTGGGAATGTGTTTATTTTGCCCTCACTTTTGAAAGATATTTTGCTGGATATAAAATTAATCTTGGCCATTGTATTTTGTTTCTTTTGGCACTTCAAATGTGCCATACCACTGTCTCCTCTTCTCCTTTTTTCCTAATGAGAAGTCAGATGTTAATCTTATTAGGGTTCCCTTGTATGTGTATCTTTGCATTTATCCTATTTGGATTTCACAGAATTTTTGATATGCATAAACTAATGTTTTTCATCAAATTTGGTAAGGTTTCAGCCTACATTTCTTCAACATTTGTCTATTGATCTCTTTTCTCTCCTGTTGCACTCCCATAACATGAATATTAGTGCTTTGAATGGTGTCCCAGATTTCTCTGAGATTCTATACATTTTCTTTCTTGTTCTTGTTTGTTCTTCATATTGCATAATCTCTATCAATATACCTTCAAGTTTATTGGTTTCTCTGTAAATTTAAATCTACTGTTTAATTGCTCCAGTAAGTTTTGTTTTTAAAATAATTTTTACTGATATTCTCTCTTTGATGACACCCTGTCCTCATGTTTCATTTTTTGTTTTTTGGTTTTTGGTTTTATCGGGGCTTTTTGGAGCCAGGGTCTTGCTATATAGTTCCAGCAGGCCTTGAGCTTACTATGTGGCCCAGGCTGGTCTTGAACTCACTATGTAGACCAAACTGGCCTTGAATTTGCAGCCATTCTCCTGTCTCAGCGTCCCAAGTGCTAGGATTACAGGCATGCACCACCACACTTGGAAAGCTTTACTTCTTTAAGGATGGTTTCTTCTAGTTTTTGGAACATATTTATAATGGTTGCATTTATGTGTTTATTAAATTTTACATCAGGACCTTTTCAAAGGCAATTTCTGCTGCCTGCTTTTTTTTCCTGTGTATGGGTTAACTTTTCCTGTTTCTTTATTATGTCTTGTAATTCTTTGTTGAAAATTGGACATTTTTGATAATGCACTGTGATAACTCTAGATTCTGATCCTCTCAGTGTTTGTTGTTGTTTGCTTACTTGTTTAGTTACTTGGCTGTTTTACTATGTTAATAAAGGCTATTCCTCCCCCCATGAATAGGCTGTACAGTGATGGCAAACCTTTTAGAGCTTTCAATGATACAAACAACCCTCTCCAGCACACATGCCACTAGCCTACAATGTTGTTATTCTGAGGCACAGCCCTGGGCAGGCAGGGACAGCTCCCTCCTTGACCTCACCCACTGATTCACAGTCTTTTTTACTCTCTTCCTTGGATCTCCCTGTAAAGTTTCTAGCTGGTCAGCCACTATTGCTATCATACCTAGTTGTTAGCCTACACTGATAATTAGCTTACTCCACTGTTTTCCATAATGACCTGGGGCATAAATTGTTAAACAGTGTGATTCAATTAAATGCTGCCCCACAGGAGCACTGTGAGTCCTGTCTTTGAGGCTTGCTCCTAACATCAAGAGGGCTTTTCTTAGATGGCAGATTCTCTCTTTTAACTTCAAGCAGATCTATCATTTTGCTCTCATTTGTTACCACTGCTATCATGGGAATACCAGTCTCCTCTTAATTTCTCACCAGCAAAATCTGCATTTTTATAGGGCTCTTATGCTTGTATTTTCCCACTCTGTCCAAACAAAGCCAATCTCCTTAGGGTGAGGCTGGACTCTTCCTATTGGCAGAAATTCTGGGGGCAGGAATCTGTTACTCTTGTCGTGATACCTTTCACAGGCAGGACTATGGGTGGGGAAGACATTCCCATTACTGGTCTTCAGGTTTGTCTTTTCTCTCCAGATGGAGCCCCTGCCCTACAAGCAAGCTGTATTTATGGGCCCAATATTTATGGCCTGCTGTGAATAGGGTAGTTTCTGTCCTACAAGTAGTGGATGGGGAGAAGAAGGGAGACTCAGATTTTTCTTTTTGGAATAGAGCTTCTGCAACACAAAGCTGGGAAAGGAAGAGAAGGATGGGCAGATGAATGGAAGAATGGATGATCAGAGTGATTTCTAAGTTTCCAATCACTAATTTATGAACATAAGAAATGTGGTAGGAACAGGGATCTAGCTTAGTGGTTCTGCCGCCTGCCTTGCAAGCACAAGGTCCCCGGTACCAAAAAAAAGAAAGAAATACAGTGATGATGGTGTTTTAATGATAAAGGCTGAATAGAATACTCAGAACTGATGTTGGCTGTCATGAGTGGCTACATAATTAGCAGCGCATAGTGAAGAAACAAATATGGGATCTCTTTCTAAAAACTTTTTAAGAATTTCAAGATGACAACTGCAGATCATTAAAACATATTTGAGGGCCGAGGATTTAGCTCAGTGGTTCCGCCGCCTGCCCTGCAAGTGCAAGGACCCGAGTTCGATCTCTGGTACCAAAAAAAAAAGTTTGAGGTCTTTCCAAGCACGGGGGGAGGGTGTGTCTGTGTAATTGCACAGGACACAACCATGAAACCATCCTTGCTTACTCAAGCCCTGGAGTAGAGTTCTAAGGGCTGACAGGTATTATTCCCTAGTTGCTGCATCTGGGAGCTCCTAGGGGACCGAGTCCCAAGTGAGGGGCTGGGGCAACCCCAAGTAGCTGAAGACAGATGGGTAAGAGGGGCCATGATTCAGGGCACTGTCTAGATATCAAACATTGGAGAAACAGTATTTTAAAATGCCAACATATTGCAAAAAAAGTCAATTCACAAAATTTCATTAAATTTGGGGTCATATTATTGGAAAGTCAATAAACTTACATAGCTAGCAGGTCAGGAGTTCCAAGGGTCTTTTTTTAAGCTTTGTTGTCACTCGATTCTCATATCCACTTTGGTAGGGCAATTCCGGTTGACCTTTCTAGATTTTTGGCAGTGATTCCAGAAATCCTTTGATTAGTATGATTTGATATGCATGCTCTACATAGGAGAATTGAAATATTAAGTCTATAAAACCCACTCAACATCCTGAGATGGAGTTGCCTGCTATTTCTCTGCCTTACCATGATCTCTCCACTCCACATTTCTGCTTCCTGCTCCAAACTCCTCAGCACCAAAGAACAACTTTAGCAAGCCCAGGTTTGACAGTTGCTAATTATGTCATACTACCATGGAAGTTTTAATGTTTAACAAGGACAGATCTACTTTGGGAAATAATGATACATCCTATCATTTATTCCAAGTGATAGCAAGGGATGATATTCTGGTTTACACCTCTGTTTTAGTTACTTTCCCCCTTTTAGATATTATCAGTGGCAATGATAGCCACAACTGCACCTACCTTGACCCTAAGCTTACCTCTTCACTAAATTATTTTGGCAGTTTTCATTGCAAAGTACTGTTGTATATCAGTACTTTACTAATTAAATGTGCAAGTGAGTCACTGGAGAATGTTGTTAAAAATGCAGATTGGTTGGAGAATTTCTAATAAGCTACCAGGTGATGCCTACTCTATTCTGAATAACATTAGTCCAAACAAAAACCAGGCTTTTGATTGCAATCTATGCCCAGTTTTCCCTAAGTTTACATCAGCACATCTAACCTGAGGCCTATAGGCAGAATGTGGCACTGGGCAGGTAGTAGTGAAGCCCCACAAGATCAGAAACTTTTAATATTATTATGTGATTTTTAGTGATATTTTTCATAACCTGATTGTGTAGAGCTCAGGCATGGACTGCAAAGGCAACAATTACACACCGTGTAGGGGGTGGCACAGGGCAGTGCTAACTCACACATAGTCCAACCCAAACCAGGACATATGTGACTTACATGCACTTGTGCAACAATGAGTGTAAAATGCAGTTATTATAGAAAATAATATTTCAACCTACCTACGAGGTGTATGCCTGTGAAGACAGGCATTTATTGTTATTAAGTAGACATGTAAGTTTTCTTATTTAATTATTAAACTTGGGCTTATTGTATCATTTTGTAAAATTATTTAGTAAGTTAAATGTAAGAAATAAAGGAAGTCGAGCAAAGTGGCACATTTCTCTAATCCCAACATTCTTGGAGGTTTAGGCAGGAGGACTGCAAGTTCTAGCCCAGCCTGGGGAACTCAGCGACTTAAGGAGAACTTGTCTCAAAAAAGGAGGCAGGGTGACTGGGGATATACCTCCATGTAAAGGTACTGAGTTCAATCCCCAGTACTGCAAAAATAAATAAAGGAAGCTTTGTTACTTACATATATTAACTATCTTATATATTTTATATGCAGCTCAAGACAATTCCTCTTCATTCAATGCAGTTGAGGCAAGCCAAGAGGTTGTCTATACCTAAGTGACCACATCCTTTGAAAGTTGGATGTACATTAATTTCAAAGATTTGTGCCTTTTGATCCCTTAATCAAAGCAAAGCAAAACAAAACAAAACAAGCCAAGTATGATGGTGCATGCCTGTAACTCAACTACTCAGGAGGCTGAAGCAGGAGGATCACAAGTTCAAGCCCAGCCTGGGCAACTAATTGAGACCCTGTAAAAAAATAAAACTTAAAATAGATGGGAATGTAAATCATGCTATTTAGCATGAGGGAGTTCCTGGGTCCAATCCCCAGTACCACACACACACACACGCACACACACACACACACACACAATCAGAAATTAGGAAAGACTGCCTGCCAACTGGAATAGGAAATCCCTAATCTCATATTGTGTAGTTTATGACTTCTGAATTGTCCAGATAAGAACCCTCATCACTGCATTCCCCTCCTCCCTTATTTTTCTTTCATCAAATGTGACACACACATTTGGGCCTATGAACATATTTAAAACTTATTATTTCCTAATTATTCACTCCTTGGGTTACCTTTAATGCCAAACCATCTTATGGCGAATACTTTCATTCAGAGTTCAATTTAAAACAACAACAGCAACAAAAGAAAAATACTAAACCTCACTTTTCAAGATTTGGCAATATATCCATGGCTTAGTGAAGATTATAAAATCATATTGTTTTATTAAGGCATCATCAAACAAACTCTGGGCCACTCCTTGACTCTGTGTGCAGCATCTCACCACAAATTTATGAAGACTCCAGCAAATTTACTGCTAGCTCAAGGTTTGAGTACACTAAAGCCTATTTAAATACAACTATGTTTTACAATGAGATGTATTCAACATTAAAAGAACTTCAGTTTACTAAGACTCATATTTAACATTTGTCCATGTAGCTGGAAATTGGTAAGTCAACAGAGTGTCTCTTGATGAGAAAAAACTTCTTTCTTCATATGGAAAATCTGAAATTTAGAAAGGCACTGTTATTAATAAACCGTCATTAACAACATAATTTCACTGAAGATTAATAACTCTGAGAAATAGGCAAAATAACATTCAGCAAAGTGAAACATTTCATACATGTTAATGTTTCTATCAGGAAAAGTCATAGTATTAAAAATTTTTCCTTCAAGTCACAGCTTCTCCTTAAAGCTTTCCAACACTTAGTGCTCTCCCCATCTTCAGAAATTTTGTAATATTATGTGCACGACTTAAATAGCAATCTTTTAAAGTCATATCACAGGCTATACTTTTGTCTTCCCTAACTAGCACATGAGCTCTGAGGGCAGGCGCCACATTTTATTATTTTGATGGAATCGAGTGCTTAGGCACACACTGATGATAGATTTTCTTCCACGACTATTTACAGTCCTTGTCTCCCAATCTTGCTTTTCTTTTAGTCCTTTTTCATTGTACTGTTCTCTAGCCTAGAGGTAAATAATGTTCCATGATCTAAAGCTTTTTTCTATTTTGACAAAAATCAACCCCCACACACCAAAATGTAGCCTTGTAGAGTCAAGTTTTCTAATTACTGTATTTTCTGAAGACATTATCATAATCCATACAGCATCAATTATATATTCTAAGGGAGCAGATAAAATTATACATGTAGGCCCATTGGTTCTAAATGCACAACTTTTCTTATTATCTACTGTCTCAAACTAAACTTCATAATATTATATAACTTACTGATTTCCGTAAAGTTTTTTGCTTATGCAAAAGCAGACACGTTAGTAGCAAAACAAATAATGAGACAATACCAAATGGTATCATGAAAAACGTCAAATTTTCCTTCCATCCATCACCTAGGATCAAAAATCACAAAAAAAGGGGAAGTGTTAGAGGTTTGTAACTATTTTTGAAATAATTGTTTTACAAATAAACTCCTAGAAAATGGTGAAGAGCTGAGTTAGACCTGGTAAATCGTACCATATTTGCCAGTGCATAACTACCATACCTGTGTTTGAGTATAGCATTTCTTTCATTTGCATACTTTTTAATACAGAACAACTACTTTATTGAACTGTGACACCTCTTAATTTCAAAATAATTACTTACAAAATAATTCCTCAAAGCATATTTATTATTTCCTGGTATGGATCTGTTTAAAATTTGACCTTGTTGATTTTTCATTTAAAAATAATTAAATGTTAGGCAAATGGTTAAACAAACATGTCCTGTATCCTTTTTTCTTTATTCCTTCTTTCTATTTTTCTATCAGTACTGGGGATGGAACCAGGGCCTTCACGCTGAGCTATATCCCCAGTTCTTTTTTATTTTGAGAGAGGGTCTCACTAAGTCACTAAGTTGCCCATGCTGGGCTTGAACTTGCAATCCTGCTGCCTCATCTTCCCCGAGTGATGGAAATACATGCATGAAGTGCACCACCACAACTTTCAATAGTAAGTTAAATGTGTACTTTGCATCATCTGACACTATAGTGAGCAAGAGCTGCCCTTCAATTAAAATGTGTGTCAGTAATGGAGTTAGTCTTCTTTTTCAGAGTGGATAAAATTTTATTAGCCTTTCAGTTTACAACATGAGGTAAAAGGAGAAACAGTTCTCCTTAACCATATTTTACACAGCTATAATAAAATATTTTAGACTTAAGGGATTTATTACATTTCTCAAAAGTCAGGGTCAAGTAAGCAAGCTTTAACTCCTTGAATCTTCCAATCGACTCTTCCCTTACAAAAATAATAAACTCTGACTAGTACCATAAGTTTGAAGGCCAAGTTTCATCACTTTTGGTGATGTCTTTAGATCTGAAGCACTAGGGCTGGGGATTTAGCTCAGTGGTTCTGCCACTTGCCTCAAAAGCACAAGGTCCGGAGTTCGATCCCTGGTACCAAAAAAAAAAAAGATATCTGAAGCACTGCTATTTCCATCAATATCCACAATTCCACTTCAAGGATGAGTTTTTGCATTTGATGGAGTTTTAGCATCGGGCTGTCCTCTCTTGCTATAAGCCCATTCTGGTTCACTCACCAGCTGAGCCTTTGCTCCTTCATTCATAGTCAAGAGTGCTTCATCTTACTCTGCTATAACTTTGTCTCCTCCCACTTAAAACTTGAAGCTGTGATATTTTTCATCTTTGAACTCTCGTTTGGATATTATCAAAAACAGTCCCCGTCTTGTAGTAGTTTTGTATACCAGCAGTGAACAACATCTTCTTTGGGGGGAAAGTTGACTTTATCTCTTTTGTAGAAGATAGTGTGTATATTTTGGGGGATGCTTATACAGAATCTCTTCAGTCTTGGTTTGTCTGGGTTTATCTTCATTAAATTTATTTTTCACTTGTTCAGACACTATTCTTTCAGATCCTTGAAATGCTAACTTTCAAAAAGACTGTTACTCCTCTAATCCCTCCATCCATGCTTCCGCACACGCACTGGGAATTGAACCAGGGCTTGAGCTCTGAGCTAGATCTCCAGTCCTTTTTAATTAAGCCCCCTGCCCGGTACCAGGGACTGAACTCAGGACCTTGCACTTGCAAGGAAGGTGCGGAGCCACTGAGCTAAATCCCCGGCCCTCCTTTTTAAATTTTGAGGTAAGGTCTTACAAAATCTCTAAGTTGCCCAGGCTGGAATCAAACGTGTGATCCTTCGCCCTTGACCCCCACCCCCCACCCCGAATGCTAAAATTATAGGCATGGGCCACCAGGCTCAGCTGTAATGGTCCTTATTTTAGCTATCTTGGCTATGTTTATAACTTTTCCTAATAACTTATGCTCTGCAAGAAGCGAATCTGAACAGCGGTCCTGCAGAAACTTGATAATATCCTTTTTGGGTAGCCGTGCATGCTGGTTGCTGCTCTGCAGTCCACACCTGTCTGCCGTACAAGAGCTGCTGCCTTCTTTCCTCCTGCCTCTCTTTTGGAGTTAAGTCTTTCAAGATCATTCTTAGTTTTCAGAAGAGTGCTGGTTGCAGTACCCAGGCTGGTACCCAATCAAGTGACCCCTTCACCTCAGGCTCTGGAATAGCTAAGATTGCAGGAAGGAGACACTATGCAAGGATCAAGGTCACATTTTTATAATTGTCTTACACTTTAGAGACTAAAGAAAGGGACAAGATTTTCTTTTTTGTTTTATTATTTTAGGGATAAAGTTTTAAAAGTTCTGCATAACAAGGAATGAGCAATCACTAGGCAAACTTTAAAAGCAGATGAAATTTGTCCTTCTCAAATTAATATCTTCTACTTGTTTGGGAATAACATAAAGCATGTTAAAATTAGGCCCAGACCTGATGCCACCTTTCTCTTTGTGTTATTCTGTTACAATCTTATTTTCTACTAGAAAATTACCAAATTCATATGCTTAGTTTCGGATTTTCAATGATATAATCCAGAGAAATGACTGATAATATAGATCTCCTGACATGCAAAATTAGCAGTGGGATGGCAGGAAGCTCCTTTGTTGAGGTTCTACTTGCTTTTCTTGAAAAGGAGATACTTTTATTTCCAAAAATAGTATTTTCTTAACCAGGTGCTTTGGGACATGCCTGGGAGGCTGAGATAGGAGGATCACTAGTTCAAGTCCAGCCTGAGCAATTTAGCAACTTAGCCCTTTGTTCAATCTCCATTACCACAAAACAACTTTATTTTTTTTGCAATTTGAAGCATCCAACAAGAAATGTTCTAAAAAACTAAGACCATATACAACTGAAGAAATTCTTTTTTCTTAATTTTTCAAAGCCATTAAGATTCTACCAAGAGATTTCTCCATCAGGATGAAAGAAAATTCAGTCATCAATCCCACTGATAAGATTGTCCATAAAACACATAAAAAAACATCTATTTTAAGGATATTAAAAACTCACCATATTGACTTTATGCAATGCACAAGATATAATTCAGAGCATAACTGCATAAGAGTCTCCACATTTCTAGTAGTGATGACAAAAACGAAAAATGTACAAGCAGCAGTACTCTGATTCTATATATCACTTGATTAAGTTATTTCCTGCCCTGGTTATTTTTTCTCCATAACCCTTAGTGAATATATATTTGGCTTTTGGTTGATTGCCTATTTCTACTCAACTTGTGAATAAAACATAAGCTCCATGTGGATAAAGATTTCTTTTCTCTTTATGTCCAATGCTTAAAAAGAATCTGATGCACAACAGGTGCTTAATAATATTTGATGAATGAAAAGGAACAATGATACCAGTATATTCATAGGGAGATAATAAAGACTCCATTATAGTAGAACCACGTGAAAGAAGATGAATGATTCACAGAAAACTATGTCATCTACATCTGAATATATATTAATAACTGCATCCATATCAATATACCTGAAAAAACAATGCTGAGTTGATTTTCTTCAATTTTGAATCATTTTTAGTAATTTTTGTCAATAAGATAATATATTCTGAAGCACAATCTTATTTTGCTTCACTATCCAGGCCTTTTAGTTTATACTGCTGTGTAATTTGGATGTCTTTTATCATAAGTCACTTTAAATTGGTGTTGGAAGTGAATGGGATATGTATTTTCCTAATCATAACATTTTTTATGATGTTGCGATGCCAGGAATCAAACCCAGGGGCTCATGCATAGAAAGCAAGCGTTCTACTACTGAGGGACATCCACAGCCCATCACGACTATTGTTCTTAATTAGAATAATATTCATTCGACATAATACTAGACATTTGGAGACAAGTGTATGACAATCTTATCCTTTTGTTTTCTCAAAAACTAAAAAATTAAGAAAATATTGATTAAAGTATACTCCTGCTCCACCTTACCCCCAGCTAAAGAACTAGCACGTTCTTTTTATTGATAGGAAAATAAGAATTTTCCTAATAGAAGCATAACAAGTTTCTTATTTCTAAATGAATATTAGAGTTTCAATAAATCTGTGTTTGAGGTGTTTGCAAACTTTTCTTCTCCATGTATAGATGATATGCAAAAGCCTTTGATCTCCATGATTACAAAAATAAACAGAAAGAGAATTAATTTTGCTAGCAAATAGTTCTGGTCACTTAGTGACTGTCCTTTTAGCTTGTACCTTCCCAGCATTGTTCATCACTCCACTCACTCCAAATCCCATCATCTGAGCAATAAATGTTCACTTTGCTTCTTACTGAAAAGCAGAATTCTTGGCTTTCATTTAACATTCTTGTGATGTGCATTTCATTTTCAACTGTATTGGTCTGAAAGCCAAGGAAAAAATAAGATGCCATTATTTGATCTAATTGCAACTAGAGAAATTGCATTTGTCATTTTCAGAGTGGTTTATTTCCACATAAAATATGTGTACCAGAAGACTAGAAAGGTATAATTCTAGCAGGGATTATCTCTCTATATAGTGAATGTTTGAATTTTTCTGTTTGATTTTGAAGGGGTTTTGGTCATTTTTCTTCTTTTTTATATTTAAAAAACTTTTTTCTATAGTGATAATGGGTTACTTGTAATAAAGAACAGTGTGTATGACCAGGCAAAATTCCTAGGTAACCTTCATGATTATAATCCCTAATATTTGAACTAGTCAAATTTTCTGGATTTCACAAACTGGAAGATGCTACATACACTGAGATATTAAAAGACAGAACCATTGTGTGAATGCTGTTTCGATGGAAACTGTAAAATTCATGTACATAAAGCTCTTTTCCCCACAGCTTTTATTTTGGGTAATCTCTGTAAGACTTGTGTAACAGTGCTCATGGATTGGCATGAAATTACCACTTCAGGTATAAGAATATCACAAATCTGGGTGATCTCACAGAACAACAAAAATTCACTGAAGCAATTAATTTTTGTTTCAAAGAGTTGAAGAGTTTTTTTTCATCCAAAAGAACAGCTTTGTGTTTGTTATAACTTATGCTGGGAACCACCATAATGCAATGTCAGATCTCGATTCTAGTTCTAGATGTGCAATTTGATTATGAAGTTAATTCATCTCCCTGCAACCTGTAAGTCAATTCAAAAATCAGTTCTCTCATTTGCTACGAAATGAATGAATTAGAACCAGTGGCTCAACTATTTGTTTCTTCCACTCTCTAACTTGGAAATTAATAAACAAACTTAACATAAAATGTGGGGTTAAAGGCATCACCACGTTGTTGATGTTGGGGTAATTAGTCTTACAACCATTGGCTTCTTACCCTGTTATAAACCATCTTTCCTGGTTAAGAGTAATGCTCTTGTAACTGCCATTTCTAATTCTGATCTCATGTGCTTTCTTGTTTTGTTTTTACCCGAAGGGCGGTCTCTCTCTCTCCACCCGCCCCCCCAACTAGGAATTGAACCTAGAGCCCCCGTACTGAACTGTCTCCTTCTCATCCCTTTATATTTATTTTTTATTTTTATTTTGAGACAGAATCTCACTGTCACTAAATTGTCCAAGTTGGGTTCAAACTTGTGATCTTCCTTCCTCAGCCTCCCAGAGTGCTGGGGCTTCAGGTGTATGCCATCACACCCAGCATCTGAAGCCTCTTCACAATCCAGTTTTGTCCCTTGGCAAGTTTAATTTTTTGACACAAAATGGGAAAACAAGTGACTAGATTATCTCCAGTGTCCTATGTAGCTTTAAAATTGGTATGATTGTACTTTCAGACTAGAGACACCTTACTTTTGTCCACTAGATCTGGCTTTCTGGAAGTTAAGCTACTAAGATACATGTAATGTCATGTTCCTCATGTAGATAGCAACTGATCTTGATTCTCAAGTTTCCTATTTAAAAGGCTATGATTATGTTTTTACCAAACAAATGCAATATTCATACCATCCAGGAATTATCTTCTGTGAACAAAATTTCATAAATAAAACACCTTGATGGAATAGGTCCTTTAGGTATGCTCCATTTCAGGTCAATGTCAAATGAATTCTTCACAGTAAGACTAAGATAGTCTGGAGGCAAAGGTTTAACTAAGAAGCAGAAAGAAATAATTTTAACATGGAAGTTGTTGAAATTCTTAGTAGCCCTTTTCTAAAGCTGAGAATACCTAGCAACTAAAACCCACAGAGATAAACTAAATGGCTCAAGATTATTCCCCATGATGTGTATTAAAATCAAAGCTGCTTACCAACCAAGGTGAGTTTACTGAGAAAGTTGATTATTTTGGAAACTTGTTTTATGATGTCAAACAATGACATATTGAAGCTCAAGAAGAAAGTTAGAAGATCCAAATTATTGCAATCATTTTCCTATTTTGTAGCTTTAGAAAGATGGTAAGCAACTTGCTCAAAGTCACACAACTGGACAGTGGTAGATCCAGGATTCCAACTTAGAACTGGATGACTTTAGAAACTGTCTCAGTTGTAACTGCTAAAACTGAGAGCATAGACCTGAAAATATCCAACAATAAATCTATTGAGACCTGAGAGTAAGAGAGTCCATAATTATTCTATCCCTAACCCTACACAAAAGTACCATACAGCAGAAGAAACCTCTGAGGCTTGGGAAATAAACTGTGATTTCTAAATGAAAATATTTTTATACTTCATGCAGTTTCTTATTTTCCATACTTCCTTATATCCTTTATTTTTCTAGCTTTGCACTTCCTTAAGCCTCACCACTATGAATATGAAGTTGAAGTTGTTTGTTTATATCACCTATATTTTGAAGCTGAAAAATGAAATAGCTGGATCTGACAGGCTTGGATTCTGATGATCCATTAACACAGATAAAAAAATCTTTATAGTCTGATGACTCCAAGTTTGGAAACTTGCATCCAATATTTTTTCCATTTTCCTTGATGTAATCAACACACTGTAATACATTATCCAAACCCTCATACCTGTGAAAAGAAACACTGTAAGAATTGTGTTTAACAGTAACTTCTAGTATACTGATGCTCCATTTTAATTATGTTAGGATACCTTTCAAATAAAAAATCATTTAATAACATGCAACATTTGTTGAGCATCTACTATATGCTATGTGCTATAAGTACTAAGGATACAACACTATGGAAAGACAACTTGGTCTATGATTTCACAGAGCTTACAATGTGATGGTAGGCTTCACAAAATCTCAAAGATAAAATAAGGATTCTTATTTATGTACTTAGGTTATATTGACTCATCGAAGGGTTTGTGAATCAGACAATAAATTTCCTACTAAGAAAACCCAGGGTTTATATAAATGAACATGGGTGATACTGTATTTTTAATGTTTTGCTGGGAAAACTATTTTTAAAAAGCAGACTTAAAAATGTTGTTATGTTTAATAAATGGAATGAAAATCCTCTGAGAATACAAAATACATCAAGATATAAATTGCAGAAAAGGCAATTGTGGTGGGGGGCAAAAAGAACAGGAGAAGTTGTTTGGCAAGTAAATGTCTTATTTTCCATTCTCCTAAACAAGAAATGTTACCCCATCATTTAAAGTTAACTTCATTCCAGTAATATGGCTAGTGGGAATTAGGAGTGAGGGGCTCCTTACTGATTTCCAAAGCAAAGAGATGCTTTGTTTATTTTCCTAAAGGATGGCTTACGATGCAAAATGAGACATTTGCTTTAAAACTAGACAAAATCCCTTTTAAAATGAGACCAATGTTGGGCAGGGGATTTAGCTCAGTGGTTCTGTTGCTTGCCTGGCAAGCACAAGGTCTCGAGTTTGATCCCTGGTACCAAAAAAAAAAAAAAAAAAAAAAAAATGAGGCCAATGTAGCAGCTGATAAGGTGCGGGTAAAAATATCTAGACTTTATTAAATTAACTTTAGGCCAAGTATTTACTTGTGGCCAAATTTGCAAAATTGTAGTCCCCTGGTTAGTTCACTTCATTAGAGTTTGGAAGACTTGAGTTCTAGGCTTGACTTTACACAGATTTGTTTCCTACCAGTGGAAAAGCCTCAGCATACCCTTTTTTCCCCAGTCTCTAAAATGTTTATATTTATTCCTCTCTAGTTAACTGAGTGAGGATAGTCGTGTCAAACATGAACTACAATTTATAAGAGGGTGCTTTGTCTTATTCACACTTTTGTCTTTTTATCTAAAAAAGTATTGGGCATTTAATATTTGTTTAATGTTTGTTGAATTAATGAACAAACAATTGAGACCTTTGGAAGTTACTTATCCAATTCCAGATAAGGAAATTGAGAGCCCAAAAATGGAAGTTACTTGTCCAAGATCACTAAATTAAATAATGTTAGGGCAGGAATTAGAGCCCAATTCTTAGGAGTATTAATAATTTATACTTAGTCATTTACATATTATGATTTTCTGAAGAAAGATAACATGATAATTTGGGCTTGAAAGCTAATGAATAAGTAACACTTTGTTTTCTCTTGATATTTCTTTTATTTAGTAAATGTCTAAGTTCTGATATTTACCTATCAATTTACCAATGCTACCTTCATTTGTTTCATTTATTTAGTTCACATTTAGTGAAAAATCTAACGTGGACGTAGCATTCTGGAGGTAGTCAATAGAAGTATAAGAAACAGTTCATGCCTGCCAATCCCTTAAAAGTTTGAGGAGACAGAGCACACACACATACATTTAAATACCATCCAGGTGGTAAATAAGAGTTATAAAAATTAATAGTTCAGAGAGAAACTGAATAGAAGCTGACATGATCAAGAAAGGATCAATGAAATAGGATAGCAGACAGGCCTTGAACGATGGTTAAGAATTGGTGAAAGAGAGATGAAGAACATTCTAGATGGCGATGTACACAAAGACATAAAAGATTATGACATGAGTGAGGAAAAATGCAGAGATGGATCTAAATGGCATGGAGCACTCACATTGGGACAGTAGATGGTAATAGTGGAAAGGCAGCAATAGAGGAAGCATAGACTTGAGTAGCAACCTAGATTTTATCCTGGTAGTGGAGTGGGAGGGATATGTAGCCACTGGAGATTTTTGAATGAGGAGATAGCATATGAAAATGGCAATTTAGAAAGATGAAGTTGACTTCAATGTGTAGAATGAATAGGAAGGAGAGAGACTGGAAGCTGAGCAAGGACCATTTGCTAGGCTATGGCAATCATCTAGGTGTACAATAAGGGGAGCCTACAGGATTCTTATAATAGAGATGGGAAATAAAACACAGATGTGGCATTTTACAAAGGAATGTCAGGACATGGTGATTGTGTCACAGTGAAACAATTAAGGAATGAAGGAATTAGAAGTCAAGATGACTCTAAGCTTAAAAGCCTCTGTGAGGATTAACAAATGCAGGAAGTCAGAAAAAAAAATCTAGCTTAGTAGATAACTTTTTTTTTTTTGATGGGGGATTTTGAGATAGAGTCTTACTATGTAGTCCAGGCTGGCCTTGAACTCACTATGTAACTCAGGCTGGCCTCCAACTCACAGAAATCCTGCTGCCTCAGCCTCTCAAGTTCTGGGATTATAGGCATGTGCCACCACGGTTGGAACAAAAGATAACTGTTAAAAGGCAAGAACAAAAATATGCCTACACTTCTTATAACTCCATACATCTAAAAGATACAAAATGTAATCCAATACAGAAACAGGGGTTGCATTTCTTAAATCACTCATAGAATGCCTTGCAATATCTGCAGCCTAAAACCATTTACTCTCATTGGAAATACCAAATAATTATAATTGTCATCATAAATATACTTCTGACAAATATAGTGAATTTAATTTAGTGGGAATACAGTTATTCACACTGTGGGTTGATTTGCGTAGATATTTTCCTCATATGGAATTCTAAATATAAAAATACTTACCAGTAGAACAAGTTGTAATTGGTATCAAATTGTACACCTATGCCAGGTTTCCAAGAACAGAGTAAATATTGCCAGTTGTAATATACACAATCCATATCCTGAATTTTAGTTTCCAGACTTCCTAAGAAATGAATGAATAGTGAATCCATGAAGGGCGGGATGATGAATCATCTGTGAAATCACTATTCAATTTTATATTATTTCCTTTGGCCTTGCCACTTCATTTAACAATCGACGTAATGAATATTTCAGAAGGAAGTCATTGAAAATCACTTCACTGTAAGTGAGACATGCAAATCTAAAAATTTTTAAGGGTTCATTTACTGACACTAGTCTGTGGCAAAGTATTAAAATGATTATTCTAGGATTCTCTGAGGAGTTGGGTAAATACTCATACAAGCTTGTTAATATGATGCCCAAACTAGGAACTATATAATTATAGTAATATGTAGGTTTTAGCAAACATGTTTGTTTGCTGATCTAAAAAATTCAAAAAGGCCAGCCATTCACTATTAAAAAGAATTCTATCTTGTGTCACACTGTCCTAGCGTCTATTGTACATACAATCTGGTACATATGAGTTAAGGAAATTATTCCCTATATAGATTGTTAGAGTGGTATTAAATATGAAAAAGGAGCTGTTTTTTAACCTTGTTCTGGTTTCCAGTAAGTAGCTTCTGAAAATGAACTCTGAACTTCTGATCCATTTGTGCAATGCCTTGACAAAAGCGTGTGTATCTTTGCTTCGACACCCTTGTTAAGATCAAACCCATCTTTGTAATGTAGATTCTTAGTAACAATGGTCTGTTTGATAAAAAGATGAAATGCACTCAAGCTTAGAAGCAGCAATGGTATAGTGAATCACATTAATAAGACCAAGAAGTCACTAATACCCTGGAGAGCTCCCAATATCTACAATATTCCTGATGATTATTTCCTACAAAGCTCCAGATATATTTCTTGGAGGGTTATTCTTTGTATATCATTTGATAAGATCATTTGAATTTAATTATAGTCAAAACAAAAACCAAAACTTCTGGAAGGGAAAAAGGGCTCTATGTCAAGAACTTATATTATAACAAACTTAGAATTAGATAATATTCACATACCACGTGTGCATAACATGGCAAATGATGTGTAACCTTTCATATTACCATGAAACTTTCAGCAATTATGAAAGTAAAATTCTGGAGGTAACTGGAGAAAGGTGGACAAATTGTAAGCTCCTTGAGGATGAAACTTGTATATTATTTATTCTTAGAGTTCTGATACCTAACAAAGTGTCTGGTACACAAAGTTACTCAATAAATATTTGGTTTGTAATTGTCCTTTGAAACTACCTAGATGAATTATGGAGGTGACAGGATGTCTTCTACAACAGAAATCTTTGAATGAAAATGATTGCCAAGTATGTAAATAGTTAATAATTCAATAAACTTTCATCAAGAACTTACTGCAATATTTGCAAGGAACCATGCTGCGTTCTGTGGGACAGACACAAGCCTAAATAAGATTTGAGTCCTGCAGAGCAAAAGCTCACAGTTCAGTAGCATATATACAACCCATATCTATTTTTTTCTGAGAAATCAAACACAATTTATTTTAGAACAAAATAGGACAAACTGAATAAAAAGAAAAAGTTTTATCTTAAACTTTTGCAATAAACATCTTCTGGGCAAGCTCTACCTTACTAATTATGGCAGTCACATCAGTAGCTTCCCAATGTACAAACAGTACAATTTGAAAAGTCAAGTTTGAAAATAACCATTCTTTGTGCTTTAAGATCATCCTCAAAATACATTGTGCTCTCAGCCCATAACTAACTGTTCAATTAAAATTATCGAAAAATAATGTAGATCAGGAGAAATATTTACTTTACATATATTAAAAAACAGAATTCATTAATTTTCTCCAGTGTTGTATGGAGGGAAAAAACTGGCCCAATCAAATAGATACAGCAAAACTTACTGACTTTGTACATTAATGACCAGAGAAAGTCCTTTGTTGTTTTTACCTTGCCTTCGGCAAAATGGTATCAATATCTTTTTCTTCTTCTCAATCTTGACCTAGTGTCCAACATTGATCTATTACACTCAAATGCCCAGGTCCTGCTCCACACCCACACCTGCACTGCCCTCTGGCTTGTCCTTGCAATAACTGGGGTGATGATACCTCCTGCCTGTTGCCACCTCAACTCCCTTGGTCCTCAAACCCATATCTAAATATGTAAGCACTCTAAATTGAATATTGTTTGAGCGTGTCCCCCAAGGGTTCATGTGTTCAAAGCCTGATCCTCAGCATGGCAATCAATGTTGACAGGTGGTAGAACCTTAAAGAGGTGGAGCCTAGAGGGAGGCGATTAGGTCATTGGGAGCAGTGCCCTCAGAAGGAATTAATGTAGTTCTTGTGTGACACCAATTAGAAATGCTCTGATGAAAGTGACTCATTGTAAAAGCCACTCCCTGGTTCCTGTCTCCTCATGTGATTTCTCCCTCTCACTCACTCCTGCTATGATGCTATCCGCCAGGAGGCTCTCCTAGAGGCTGAACAAATGGGCCACAGAATCTTGGCCTTTCAGCCTCTAGAAATATGAGCTAAACAAACTTCTTTCTTTATACATTACCTAGTATGAGGTATTTTGTTAGAGCAACAAAAAATGGAATAATAAATTATGGTAAAATGTATAAAATGCTCTTCAAGTCCATCTTCTGTGAAACCAAACTTTTCCCCCACATTTCCCATGGTAGTCTTAACACTGGATGAGGTGAAAATATATTTTACAGACTATACAGGACAGAAAAGCAGACATGGCAGCTTGTTATATACTAATCTAAACTATTAAGATGAGATTTAGAGTGGATGGTAAAGTGGAGAATCAAAAGAAAACACTTGATGATCACTTCGATATTGCAATTGCATGCTTTACCTACCTTCCAACTTTCACTGTCAGTGTTTCGGTATTTTAATTCATATTCTATTGTGCATTCCTTAAAATTATCCACAGCCAGGGGAGGTTGCCATTGCAAATAGAGATAACCTAAATATCCAGGATCCACTATCTCAAAGTCCTGAGGAGGATTAACTGAAATAAGATCAATAACATTTTTTATTTTTTTCCTTTATTTTATAACAAAGATTCCTAAATATAGAGATTACTTCCAAATGTACCACAATTTATGAATGGATAAACAAAGCATATCTATACCATGGGGTATTATGTACCTATACAAAGGAATGAAGTACTGATACATGCTAAAACATAGAACAATTCAGAAACATTATGCCAGGTGAAAGAAACCAGTCACAAAAGATCACATATTGAATGATTCTGTTTATAAGAAATATCCATAGAGATCGAAGTAGATTAGTGGTTGTCAGAGGCTAGACAGAGGAAAGGATACAGTGCACCTGCTTAATGGGCATGAAGCTTGAGGGAGGTGATGAAAACATTCTGAAATATGGTAGCAGTTAGTTATTTCATAGCTACTGAATATACTTGAAACCACCAAATAACATTTGAAATAGGTGAGTTTTGTGTTATATAAATTATATCACAATAAAACTGTTAAATGAACCTAGATTATTCCTATACTGTTGTGCTGTCTTTAAGAATTCATATAAGAAAAAATGTGACTTTCCTTTTTAGGAATTCAGAGAAAAATTCACAGAAATAAAAAATTCAACACAAAGTCTTCTCTGTGTTCATGAGGATCAGGATCTGGCCTCTGATGGAAATACTTTATTACCTAAATCTCTCTAATAGCAAGAACAAATTAGCATTAACTCAGTACATATACTATTGTGGCAGAAACAACAAAGGGATAGAAAATATAAAATATGTCTACAATGGCTAAGTGTCTTGAGAACTTGGAGAACAGACAGACAGATCTTAGTCCATTTTGATTAATAGAATCCTCTAGTCAACTAAAGTACAATCCCAGAGGATGGCAAACCAGGGCACTCTTTGGAAGAACTCAAGAATTAGTGGCTTCAGGAATTAATCTTTTTATTTGGGGATAGAAAGCGGAGACACTGAGAGACAGTGGCTCCCTCATCTGGTGATTTAAAAAGCAACACGCACACACACACACACACACACACACACAAGAATGCTTCACACTTGGTGAATGTGGTGGCACATGTCTGTAGCCTAGTACTCTGAGAAGCTGAAGCAGGAGGATCACAAGTTTGATCCCTGCCTGGACAAACCAGTGAGACCCTGTCTCAAAATTTAAAAATGGCTGGGGAATGTAGCTCCCTGCAAAGGCTGAGTTCAGTCCCCACTATCACCAAAAAGAAAGAAAAAAAGGAAGCTAAAAACTTTCCTACCAACAAATCTAGTAGTACTACTTTCATCTTGCCTTGTTACTAATAATTTCCGCTCATTTCTACCATGATGTTTATTTTAATACTTCATGATACTTACTAAGATGAGGAAAAGAATCCACAGAAAGAAGTTGTGGCACAAATTACTCTACCCACCTATAAAGATATCTATTGGGAATCCTTAAGGTTAGAAATCTTTGTTAAATATGTGCTGTTCTAATTACCTTCTCTTTTTTCTGGTATGGGGATTGAACCCAAGACCTTTGCATTGAGCTGCATTCCCTGTTCTTTTATGTATTTTGAGACAGGGTCTCATTAAGTTGCTAAATTCCCCTGGCTAGTCCCAAATTTGCAATCCTCTTGCCTCAGCCTCCTAGAGTTTTGGGATTGCAAACATATGCCATCATGCCCAGCTGTTCTATTGACCTTCTGCAATAAGAGAAGTTCATTAGATATGATGGAATAATTCTGATTATTTCTACATTTCCATTTTGTTTCCAGTACTGGGGAGTGAACCCAGAGCCTTTGCACTAAGCTACACCCCCAGCTCGTTTTCTGTTTTTTTGTGAGGCAAGTTCTCATTCAGTCATTCAGTTGTCTAGGCTGAGCTTGAATTCATGATCCTCCTGCCTCAGCCTTCCAGAGCGCTAGGATTACAAGCATGTGCCACCGTATTTGGCTCTACATTTTACTTTAAATTTCTGTATTTTTAAAATTTATCTAAGTGTCATAAAAGTTAAGGATAATTATCAAAGAAAGATTTCAGTTGAGTACTAGCCAAGAAGGTCTCAAATATTTAATTGAGTTTTTAGAAAAGACTATGCAAGCAGTTAGGAAAGTGTTTTTTTATTTGGCTTTTATCCCACAAAATGTTACATTATACATGAAATTGTTTAGTAATGACATATCTTTAGTACATGAGCTTTGTGAAATAGTTCCAATAATTATGCACTACAATAAGGTAGGTTGAAAGGACAGTTAATAACCCTAGTTTTAAAACTATCTTATTAAGGGCCGGGGATTTAGCTCGGTGGTTCCGCCGCCTGCCTCGCAAGCGGAAGGACCCGAGTTTGATCCCCGGTACCAAAAAAGAAAACTATCTTATTAAAATCCATTTAATTTGTTGGTTTACCTTTTATTTCCATGTTTGAAGGCAAAGTATAGCCAAATGCTGTGCAAAGAAGAAAAATATATAGGCACTCGATATCCAAACAAATGAAAGCCATTTTTCCAAGATTTAACGTCTTGAAATCTCCTCTCTGAGAAAGAAAAATATAACAAACATTGTAACTTTATCTTACTTCAAATAATCAAGTGGCTAAATGTGATTAATAATGCTTTTTAGAGCTCTCTGTGTGCTTTCTACCAAAAATTGGGGAAACTGTGCCCCTCTGAACCGTGGAAATAGAAATAATGAAGTTTGGAACCAATATAATTACAATTACATGCATCTGGTATCATCTTTCTAATCAGTAAAAACAAATCAAAACAAAAAACCTGCAGCCCCTGACCACACACACTTTTCTACATGCTGTGAACAGGATATGGTGACTTCACACACCCATCTTTCTGAAGAAATCAGACCCACAAGTGTTCTTATTGGTGTGTGGGGGAGGGGAGATTATGACATCATTGGTCTCCATAGCAATCATCTCTCCTAGCAACACATATAGTGACACAATCTTTTCTGAGAAAAACAAAAAAACCAAAAAAACCCAGAAAGTATTTGAAAGTTATCTGGCTACTGAGAAAGATCGGAACCTACACATAAGCCTTGATAATTCAGAACTTTGCTCTATTTCTTCATAATTACTGAATCATCATCTTCTATTCTCACAACTGTCCTATTTTTGCCTTTGTCTCCTGTATGAGTAAATAGCATCATCACCCTCCCAGTTTTACTGACCTGGGAGACTTCCTCATCTCCTTCTCCCATCCAATCTCTTCCTTATCACTACCACTTCTTTGATTGAAGATGTTATCATTTAGGATCTCCAGATCCAGTCTTTTCTGCCTCCAACCCATTGTTCACACTCCTCACAGCAAAAATGGCTTTTGAAAGGGCAAGTCTGAACTTATCCCATCTTATTTATTTATTTATTTATTTATTTATTTATTTATTTATTTATTTATTTTTTGAGACCAGGTCTTGCTATGCACTTCAGGCTGGCCTTGAACTCACCTTGTAGCCAAGGCTGGGCTGGAACTCACAGTGATCCTTCTGGGATCACAGGTATGTGCCACCATGCCCGGCTTGCCCCCTTTTTAAAATCTAACAGCGCTTTACTATCACAGAACACAAGGTAATCCTCATTTTACTGTTGAAGAATATTCCTTTTATCATCAACACTTAAAGGATTCATTCATGTATACAAATACCTACTTAATCAAAAGTATTCTCGTTCTAAAGGAAAATTACCACTCCTGGTTCCACAAACTTCTTCTTTTTTTTTTTTTGGAGTGGAGTGGAGTGCTTTTTTGAGACAAGGTCTCACTATGGATTCCAGACTGGCCTTGAACTCACTATGTAGCCTAGGCTGGCCTTGAATTTGTGGTGATCCTCCTGCCTCAGCCTCCCTAGGGCTGGGATTATAGATGTAAGCCACCACGCCCAGCATTATTTTTGAGTTTTTATTCTTGGGATCAACAATTGCATAGAAAGTTAAGGGTTAAAGTTGTGTTATCCCAACATTCAGGACTACCTTTTTCTTCTACTGTGTAGATTAATTCAGTAAGACAGACCCCTTCTCCCCACCTTATCCTCTTGATCCAACCTAGCACATCTGTAATATTGTAATGTCGATAAGCAACAATTATTATATAATAGAATCTTTGGATCAAATGATTGGAGCTAGCAGGTATATTTGAGGCAATCCTAGTTAAATTCCCCTTTATATAATGGGAAGCAAAAGTCAAACTTGCCCAAGATTGTGCAAGTTAGTACAGTTGGATGTAGAAGAGAGATCTCATGATGCCCACTGATTTGTACTTCCACCCTACCATGCTGAATCCCAAGTGCTTGACTCAGGGTTATGAAAGCTATACTCCCAGTGTTTGTCTTCCTTCAGTTACCTAAGCAAGCTGAGTCAACAGGATGCTATTCATTTTATATCTCATAAAATGATAAGATTCCATTTCTCTTACTGAGGCCCAACAAATCTCTCTCTCCCCAATTTCTTCTCATCAGCCTGTGGTTGCCCATTAATTCACTGGTAAGTACTAGGAAGATTTGATTACCAGAAGATTACAGATCTTTCACAGAGCTACTATCATAGATTAAAATGTACACCTGGTTTCTGTTGGACCCAAGGCATTAAGTCTGACAGGAAAATACTTCCACATTACCTACCAGGACTAAGACAATCAAGCGTTCCTTAAAATGCTATCAGAGTGATCCTAACAAAATTCTCTCTTCTACCAGTGTGTCCTTTAAAATTTCATAAGGTACAACATAAATACTGAGTAGAAAATTTAAAAATAATTTGCTTCTGTTTATAGACTACTAAAATCTGACTCTGACTGTCAAATAGCATTTCTTGGATCAGCCCAACACACTTAAGCCTAAGAAATAGGAGACTTGGCTTCTAGAGGCATATATTGGATAAATCCACAAAACGAGTCCCTGAATTACACCAAGGGCACAACTAGATTTTCCCAAATGAATAAAAAGACAATTCTCCCATTGGCTTCTGGGTTACAGGACTGCCATTAGAGCATTGTGGGACTTTATATATTATATGATTACCATGAAGACTTGATTTTTTCACAAAGGGAGCAAAAACCTGGACACACAGGGAAGGTGGGGGAAGGAAATGCAGATATACTAGACTTGAGAAGTTTCTGATATATTCCACAACCTCCAACCCACAGTTAACAACCACTTATCTGGTCTTATCTCCTTAGTTTTAAAAATGAGGAAATAACAAGAACAGAAGATAAGTTTTCCAAGCTCACACAACTTATTGATGGCAGAACTAGGACTGAAAACCAGGTCTCTTGAACTCTTCCCACTAACTAGCAAATAAAGTTTCTTGTCCTAAGGAGTCTATTTTACCAAAGCCTCCTCCCATCCAACCTTTCTCAGCCTGTCACCACCCAAATCATCAACCACACCATGCAGCCTAATCATCATGACACTCTGGCAGAGGAATAATTTAATAAGCATGAATTGAGCACTTTTTTTTCTTGCCAGATACTACCAGATAAATCCTACATAACATACAAAGTCAAACAACAATAGTCATAATGTCAATAATAACAATAAGAATAATAACACCTTCTACCATTTATTCAGTAGTCATGGCATCTCAAGAACTATTCAGTGTTAAGCACTTTATATACATTATCTCATATAATTCTTAGAGTCAGGCTTGGATGTAGGCACTATTTTTAGTCCCCTTTTAAATGCCAGAAGTTGAGACATTGAGAAGTTAAACAATTTCCCTCAAGTCACACAGGTCAAAGGTGAAGCTTAGATTCGAAGCCAGATGATCTAGTACCAGAGCCCTCCATAGTAATCACTATACTAGGCATTTTCCATGCCTAAGGCCAATGTACAAGGGCAGCCTCTTGTTTCTACCCACTCAGTTTCACATCACACTATTCCTGAGACAGAGTTAAATTGACATTCTCCTTTGCAATGGCAAACCTAAAGCAATTTTCTCTTTTCAGCCTTACTTCTCCCCTCCTCAGAGTCATACAACATCGTCCCCTCACTGTAAGAGTTGGCTGGGGCTAGGCTATAGCTCAGCATTAGAGCACTTGCCAGGCATGGGTTTGATTCCCAGCACTGGCATGTGTTTCATTCCCAGCACTCAAAAAACAAACAAAACAAAAAGTTGGCTATATAATCCTTGTGTTATTGGAGAAACTCCAGGTACTTACCAATAATATGGTTTCTTAAGAAATGAAGTTATCACAGGGAGTGATCACAAGACCTCTCTTTCTTTCCTTTCCACTTTGAAACATTAACTAGAATCTCTGCTATTTTTCTTCCTGTCTGATAATCAAGCACACTGAAAAATTTAGATTTCATTCCTGAAATAGCCAGAGGGCCAGAAAATAGATTCTACAAGTCACAAGATAGGGGATGTTAAATGTGGGACTCAAAGGCATCTAAAGCAAAGTTGAGGTTACAGCAAAGTGTTGGAAAAACCGACAAGACTAATTATTCTTTGAACAAATTAACATTTATAGAGGAGGAGCTTATTATAGTAAAAAGCTTATTATAGTAAGAAGAGGAGGAGCTTATTATAGTATAAGCATCAACCTTTTACTTCTGCCTAAACCACTGTGGATAGAGCTAAATTACATCTGAATTTACATCTATAAAAGAGGTGATGATACAGGCTGGTAGGGGTATCTTGAAGATTAAATGAGATAAAGTATGTAAAAATACTTTAATGATAGTAATTTGCACTATATACTTGAAACCCATCTATTCTGAGGACTTTGCCACTGAACAAAACTTGAAAATAACTTGCCTCCACCTATACATTTGCCTCTACTAATTAAAGTTTTACATTCCACTGTTGAAAACTAAGCACTTAATATTAATCTCCAATCTCCACCACCTTTGTTGATCCATTAAGCTGCCTTTACTGATCTTTGTCTTAATAACAAAAAGTTCTTGCATTTGCTGAGCATTTCATAGACTTTATTGAATTCTTCTTACAACTTTTGTAGGTATGTAAGATTATTATTGGATTTTTACAAACAGTAAAATGGATTTTCAGAAGCGATGTAAGCACAAGATCCTATAGCTGGTATAATCTACATAGAGAAGAAAGGAAAAAGAAGCAAGGCACAGAAAAATTTTCTAAAGCATATATTAAATGCATAATGTGGTTTCTAAAGAAATGCTCCTTCTTAGTGTTAACAAAGAAAAAAAAAGGTAATTCCAAAGTATCAGAAATGACTATAGGTTTTTGGGTTCATTTGATTGTAGAGAAAAAGACCAAGTTGTAGAGAAAAATCATTATTCATTAGAAAATGATGAATGGAAATTTTGCAATGTCACTAAAGTGGCTTCCAAAAAAAATAACAATACATAAAAAAGCTATAGGTGGGGCCAGAGATTTAGCTCAGTGCTTCTGCCGCCTGCCTCGCAAGCACAAGGTCCCAAGTTCGATCCCCGGTACTACAGCTTTGCCTGGCACGGTGCTGCACTTCTATAATACTAGTTACTTGAGAGGCTGAAGCAAGCAGACAGATTGAAAGTTTAAGCCCGGCCCGGACAACTTAGTCTCAAAGTAAAACAAAAAGGGCTGAATAAGAACCAAGATATATCATGTACAAGTACAAACACCCAATGATAAATGTAAACTACTTGTATACCTAAAATGTACCAATAAAAGAACTAAAAAAAAAAAAAAAAAAAGGGCTGAGGATATAGTTCCATATAAAGCCCTGGGTTCAAACTGCAGTAATGCCAAACAAAACAAAAGTATAAGGTATGTTTTCTGTTACCTTTAGGGAAAAACAGTGTTATAAAATTTGATACTTTCTATTTACATTTTTAAGTACCTAAAAATATTGAGCTTGGGAAAAATAA